CTTTTACTCTTCTGGTGGACAAAGGAATACATTGGCTCATGTATTGATGTATGATTCAGTGAGACGATGTTCATTCAAATATAACTCTGCCGCGGGCAAGCGCTTTTACTCTTCTGGTGGACAAAGGAATACCTTGGCTCAAGTATCGATGTGTGATTCAGTGAGACGCAGTCTATTCAAGTATAACTCTACCGTGGTCAAGCGCTTTTACCTTTCTGGTGGACAAAGGAATACGTTGGCTCAACCGATGAAGTTAAATGAAGCCGCCGCTGGGGGAATTATAACAAGATCGAGAGGCTAAACACGAATTCAACAAGTGTCATTTGATATCATTCGTATATCAATGTATATGTATGCACATGCATTTGGTGCGTATAAAGTATGCGGTGAATTCACACGTTTGCTTCGTATTTCGCTTTTCAAACCAACCAAAATGCTTTAACTTCATCTATTTTATCACAGAATTCGGGTATAGTAATTGTCGAACGCCAAATGTATCGTCTATTCACGCTAAATCGATCTGTATTTCAATTTCGATTTCAATGTCAATTTTATTACCATCTTGAGGTTATTAACCGGCCAAATTGGGCCTCTGATTCGGGGATTGGGTTTCAATAAAGCGTCACATTAAACTGTATTCAGTCATTCAAAAGTAGATTATATAAAACTTCCTTTCTAGCTGTTTCAGGGCACTCGTTAATAAAAGTTATAAACAAACACTAATTTGGCCCGTATACAGTACATTATCAATACCTTACTGGGCACAACATAGGAAATCAAGTTCATGTGTGAGAGAAATTTAGGATCTACTTTATCTACATTTGCGATAAATCGGCAAGTTGGATGTCATGAAAGATTGGTTACTCATGAAAATTCATTAATGTCTTATCACTATACTGCATGATCTTTTTGGTCTACCAAATACATATTCTTACAATTTCTGCTACTTTCATCCATGCATGATTGCATGTTCAAACACAACACTGTGGTTATAAACACCTGAATTGCATTTTGATCCTGCTATTTTAAAATATTGAACAAGCTATTTTCCTGAGATTAAAGTCATATAATTCGAGAATTACATTATGTCAAGTTCCACCAATCATAATTCAAATAAAATAAGTGGGGTTAACAAATACATTTGCAAAATTGCTATTGAACACATTGACATTAAAAATAACTAAATCGTAAGAAAAAAAAAAAAAAATGATGGTGAGCTTTGTTTGTCGTGTTACCAACCCTTCAATCAGGCACTTGTAAGATAGAAGCTTTGTGGGGAAGCTGCTGGTTGTCTTGGCCCCATCCAGGTTTCCTGTAAAGATATTGCAGGTTTTTCCTGGCCTCCCTGATGTTCCAGCTGTAGTATGAGTGATGGTAATGCTCAAATATATGTCTTATGATCAACTTGTTTAAAAAAAAAAAAAAAAAAATTCTATTTGCATATAACATGATTTTAATTAATTAATTATTTAAAGTGTGTCGAATGAGAAATATAGACGATATGTCTTCGAAAAGCACAAAGATCATCTGTCTTCTATACGATTACAGTTGTGGTGGGAGTTGGGTTTTTTCGTCTATGGGGAATACACATGCTGTGTATTTGTGGGGATAGAGTGCTTCCAAAGGTTACCCTCAACCCCATAGACTCACCCAAATCAATGTATTATACAGTGTATTGTAAAGTAAACAATGACCATCACGGGGATCTACTACCCCTTGGACATTAAAGTAAACAATGACCATCACGGGGATCTACTACCCCTTGGACATTAAAGTAAACAATGACCATCACGGGGATCTACTACCCCTTGGACATTTAAGATGCCCATCTCGGGGATCTACTACCCCTTGGGTAAAGTCCAACATGGGGAACCACAACCCCCTGAGGACATATAATTATATCATAATCATATTGCTGTAATAGTGAGTCTGTGGGGCGACACTTGGCCACAGTTTAAAGTATAATCGGAGCATTTCTCCTCGACAACCCTTCTCCCACAACATTGTGTATGTCATAGTTGTTTTCTTAATTGTCCTAGAATATTTGCTTAACAAATTGGTGCATTAAAGCAAGTTTATACATGCCCATAGCATTATAAACTTAAGTTAATGAAACAAGCGTTAGGACAAGAGTAAAGTTGTGCAAAGTCTCCTGGAGTACAAAGGTCAATCTGTGAATCGTGTGATCATACACGTGCAAAGCGCAAGGCTGAATTAACAACAAACCATTGTCAAATCTCTTCCCATGCGTGCGGGAAAATAGACCAATCAGGTTTCACCTCTTCGTCTGCATAGTTTCCTGCTTGGATCAGTAAACCTCATTGTGTCACTTGCAAGCAAAATTGTATGACCTCTGCGGCAAAGTATTTCAAAATTACCACCCATCCCACCCTTCAAGGATTTTGCACCACTATATCATAACTTGTATCACATAATAAATAAAAATCTGTAAATATTGTTTTGATATGCAATCCGTCATCAAGATTCACATGAAATGCAATTCATCGTGAATTCATGTAGTGTTCTAGATAAAGTATTATCGAGTAGTTTACTGGTTAATATGTTATTACAGGCACATCTATATTTTGTAATATACAGTATGGGAATTGACTTTGCAAGTCTGGTTGTAAAAATAAAAATATTTGGTTGTTTGGGGATAGAGTGCTCCCAAAGGTCACCCTCAACCCCATAGACTCACACAAATCAATGTATTATACAGTGTATTGTAAAGTAAACAATGACCATCACGGGGATCTACTACCCCTTGGACATTAAAGTAAACAATGACCATCACGGGGATCTACTACCCCTTGGACATTAAAGTAAACAATGACCATCACGGGGATCTACTACCCCTTGGACATTAAAGTAAGCAATGACCATCACGGGGATCTACTACCCCTTGGACATTTAGGATGCCCATCTCGGGGATCTACTACCCCTTGGGTAAAGTCCAACATGGGGGAACTACGACCCCCTGAGGACATATAATTATATCATAATCATATTGCTGTAATAGTGAGTCTGTGGGGCGACACTTGGCCACAGTTTAAAGTATAATCGGAGCATTTCTCCTCGACAACCCTTCTCCCACAACATTGTGTATGTCATAGTTGTTTTCTTAATTGTCCTAGAATATTTGCTTAACGAATTGGTGCATTAATATAGACTTTGTTAGCTACTTGCTTAGTGTTGTTGCCGATCGATGCAGTAGAAAGCGAAGTCTACTTGAATATTGTAGAAAATATGGTCATGGAATATTAATTTGAATCGGAAATTAATATATTTGGCGCGGAATAGTTTACAAAGCTGAACTTATACAAGTTGTAAGCATGTTTCGGGACGATTGCACTATAGACCTGATTGGCATTTATTCTGGAATTTTCACAGGCTATCGCATAGACGTACGCTGAAGTGCACAAGTGGATCTCTTGTTAAACTTGCTTACGGCCTATAGTTTGTGTTCCGTGCCGCGGGTAGACTGTATATATACTGCTGTTTCTACCGCTGTAAACAGCAATGACCAATGCATGTATATTGCTGCATTGATTGCAGTATTTTCCCTGGCACCGCTACCGTCACGGTCAATATGGCTTGATATATTTAATATTAAAACAACAAACGAAAGTTTACGAGTATTATAATGAATTTATCTCATAGCCAGTAGAAAACGTCTATCGAGACTGTCGTTCAGTTAATGAGGCTATTCGTTCGTTCTCGTGCTACGTGCAGGTTAACTAAAAAGGCCTTTTGCAAGTCACCCGTCAGAGCTACTGGATGAAACCGTCCTCTAACTAACACATCCCACATTCTATTTTGCAATGGAGGTCCCAGATGTAGACACTCATTCAGCGATGGAACACCGTCACGTGCTTTTGCAGAAGCGTCATAGACGACACGGATTTTTGTGGATTCTGCATCAGGTCGAATAACTGCTTCGTGAGGGTTGTAGAATTCTCTTCATACGCTCCGCAGTTCAGCTTTCTCAATTATCCACTCTGTCTTTTGTTCGTCCATTATCTCCCCGTATTTGGTTGTCAAACCTTGCCGCTAGAGTCTGTTCGTTAAACTTGCCAATCGTCGTAAACTATTAGCTTCGTTGTTGGGTAATACAGGATGGTTGCCGCGCCACGGTAGCCCTGTTTCGTACCAACCAGCTGGGTCCCGGGTGAGTTGTTCTTTGTTGGTGGGTGTATCTTTCAAACCCAAGACATCCAGGCGACACAGTTCTTCGTAATCAGCCTGGGATGTCTGAGTCAAAAGCATATTGGTCACGTCGCAGGATTCTTTTCCAGGGGACATGATGGTCCATCCAAACTGTGTCAACTCAGCTACCGGTTGCCCGATTTACCAACTCTGGGTGGCTGATCAGTTTTCAACATTGCGTAGTCACTTGCTCCGAGAATGGTGTGCACCGGAAATCGCTCTTTCTGATCAATGTCTTCCATGATGACTCCTTTCAAGTGTGGGTTTTGCTCTATCATGTTCTGATATCTCGGATTGTCTATGAACACCAGTTCTCCTTTGTTCACCTTGGTGACTTCGACTTTCATAGAAAATTTACCCGATGTTCCCTTGATTTCAGTGGTTGACAATTCGACTTCCCTCGTAGTCACGCCGAGCATCATATCAATTGTTCGTATTTCTTTCTTGGACGGCCGCTTTGGAATGCGATCCAAAAGTGCTGCCGACGTGTAGGAACTGCCTGCTCCGGTGTCGAGTAGGGCTCTGCACTTAACACCTTCAACTTCGACTATAACCACTGGGTGCGTAACGCGCGTGTTCATATGACCTCCAGCCACTAAGAATTGTTCTGATTGTTCGCAGATTGAAGTATGGTGTTTCTTGTTACATTTCTGACATCCGAGTTTGCTTTTACAGTTGACAGCACGATGTTGACTTCCTGTGCAATTGAAGCATAGTCTCTTTTCCGCCAGACGTTTTTTCTTTGTTCTCTTGTTACAACATTTGGGCAGTTCCGACTATAAGTACGTTTCGTCCAACGCAGTTGAGTCATATAGTTCACTAACTACAGTTAAGGATTTAACTACGGTAGCTAACGCTAACTGCAGTTAACTTTAACTACGTTTTTACACAACCGGCCCCAGTAAGTTACGGACTAAGAGCTCGGAAAGATGATTTTTCAAATAAAGGTTATAAAAAGTATACGCCCTTTTATGCTGTTTACCTGAACTGCATCAACTAAAAGTATGACACCTTGACATGCTGCCAGTGATCTCGAAACTTCATAACTAAAGTCTGCATGACCCTATAAGAGATATAAATTGTTTTATCAAATATTTGTGCCTTTATCAGAGCGAAAACAAGGTGACATAAAACAATATCGTCATGCACTGATGTCGTTTCTTGTCACTGATATCCCTTTTTGTCCCGCTATATTTGTCGCTGTCGAAACAAAGATGGCTGACTCAAGGTTCGTGTTTAGTCGATGTTTACAGCTTTAAAGGCCCTGTCACACTATTGCGTATCGTACTAGCGTATGCCAGCGTATGAAAAATATCACTCATACACCGGTATACGCTGACATACGCTAGGGGTACGTTAGGCATAGGTTGTATACGTTTCAAGCACGGTCGCATACGGTGGCATACGCTGGCATACGGCGAGGCAGAAAATTTTTTTTAAGCATGTTCAAAAATTTTGTGCGTATCGGACGTATGCTTTATACGATAAGCATACTCTAGGCACACGCTGAATACGCTAGAGATACGCCAGATGTACGGTACTCATACGCATACGCTGGCATTTCAAAGGATTTTTGTGCGTATGAAAATTATTTCATTAATTTTCATACGCTTCTCGTACGTTTCTTTCATACGCAATAGTGTGACAGGGCCTTAATCTCGAAGAATAAAATGATAATACAAAGCGAAAAACAAAAAGCGACCAGTCGCTATTCAAAGATAAGTTATTCTGTATTCAAAGATAAGTTATATCTGTTATAAGTTATATCGTAGCGCTAGATACTATGCCATCGAGTTTGTTTGTGAGTTGGTGCGTTAAACACTCAGGTCGACTAATT